TTTTTCCCTCCCAAGCGGTTTTTAAGATTTTAATGTAGCCAGACTCGAGACAGTGTCTTCCCATGGTTTGGTAAAAACAAGTCGACTGTAACAGGTTTCAGGACTGGCATCGAAACACTTTTTCAAGGCGCTGTTCTTTCATTTTCTCAAAAGCTTTACGCACGGCAGGGAGATAACTGCAGGACACCAATCAAATGCTGGATAACATTTGACTGTTTCTGTTAAGTTAACAGTAGCCAGTGGTAAAACGTAAGTCATTTTCCTGCCCTGCTTTACATACAGATCTAATAACAACAGCTCTTTTTCCGGAAGCATTTTTGGAGAAAACCCCGGGGTGATAACTGCATCAAGAAGCCATATTTCTTTCTCTAATTTGTTAGAACAACAAATGAAGAGTTCTGTTTGTCAACCCAACCTAATTTATTGTTTTATTTATTGTATTTATTATATCTAGGTACCGACATGCCATATTGACGTATCAATTCAACCACGAGGCCCGATGAAATTATATTTATCCAAATTTTCCCTCCGTTTTGAATGCAGTACCTATTTATTACTCACATTTTTTATTATTATTAGTAGTAATAATAATAACCGGGTTACTATTCAAATCACTATGCAGCTCTGTCATACGTGTTTCAAAATGATTGTATACGACTCAATGTCCTTTAATTCTTTTATGCAAACAGTTGCCTTTTCTCCTAAAGATGTGGAAAAATCAAATGCATTTTTCAAAAAATTGTTCATTATCATCGTGATGAAGAGATTTAACTCAGGCAAACTAAATGTATTGACAAAAATACAGTATTACGACACGCTTATTACCTTACCACAACACTCCTGAAGGATGTCACTCTGGTCTGAATGGGAGCTAGAACTTCAAAGACTAATTACCGTTGTAAAATGTATGCATTTTTTTATATTAAGGAAAACCATTGTAGCATCTTTGTAAATATTTTTTATAATAAAAGGTGCAACTATTAAATGTGTGAACTGGATCAATCATTTTAGTATTAAGCATATTTTATCTTGTTTTCTTACTGCTTTTAAAAAAAGACTTGTTTGACCTATTGGCGAGCGTGAAAGATAAGGCTCGTCAAGACACTGCAGGCTGGGGGGGGGGGGGGTAACAGATTGTATGTAAGGCATTATGCAATCAGGATACCAGAAAAAAAAGGTAACTGTTACATAAAAGCTAGCATTAGTTATCGATAAACTGGTAATTTTTTTTTAATAAAAATTGGATTCCTAGCAGTCCTTAATGAGTCCACGTTACAAGAATAGAATATATCTTTATTGTCATCATACAAAGTACAACAACATTTCTTTTGCAACATCTCCTGCTGTAAAAAATAGACACAATAAACTAAGAGTAAAAGTAACATATTAACGGCAAATCAATAAAGAGTAAGCAACACATATGGTAATAGAATACAAATGGGTAGACATGCATGGTCTGAAAATAATCATTATACAAACATTTTTTTTTTAAAAGTATGTATTGTGCACATAACAGTGATACGTTAACAATACATTTTTAAATAAAGACAAATGTGGTATAGGTCAGATGTACTCGCCCTATATTTTGTTTTTTAACAGTACTTTTTATTATTGTATTTGCAGTATGGTGGACCCTGGGCCTGTAAGCGCACGAAGCCGGATTTTCGCTTAAGCGAGCTACACTTCAGGAAAACTCGGGGTTTCAAGGTCCTACATCGCTGGTTCACTTTCTTAGCGGGCTAGATCTCCATGTAACTTATGCTGAGCGGCTACCAGAGGCCTGTACTACAAATCTAGTTCAACATAGAGGTTAAGTAAGGTTGCAGGCTAAGAGATCAAGTCAGTTGAAAGCACCGCCTGCTGACCAAATCCGAGCTCAGTGTGCGGAGTTTAAAGCGATAAAGTCATATTACAGGAGCAACAGAAATACAGTTTAACTGCTGTTGCAGGAAAGCACCGGCCGGGCAAAAAAATCACCGACTGGTGAACGTGAAAATAATAGACATCACCCTCCATCTTCAGAGGCAATCTGACTATTATAACATTAGCGTTAAGAAAGCTACTAAATATCTGCCACCAACAAAAGTAACCGGAATCAAAGTAAACATTACGTACAGTCCGCGGCACTGAGTGCAGACGTCGATGTGTTCCATTATCATTCATGATTTTCCTTATCTGAGTCAGCTTCTTGAGCCGTATCTGGCCCTGCAACAATTTTACAGTGTCACCTAACTGTAAGCCCAGGGATCCACCAACTACATTTTGGTCCAAGGGACAAAAAATGTATCCAATAGACACTTTCGCAGGGCCAGCATTTTTTAAGTAATCAGAATACAGTTACAGTTAAGTGTCTTAAAACACGTATTCAGATTACTTTTAGAATACTTTTGAAATGCTTTATTTTTTCCCCATAAACAGATGGTATGTTTTGGTGAACAGGAGACACTTAATTTACTGTTTTTAATGCCTTATCAAGAACTCAAACACAACATCTTGGTGTCATTCTGGACCAGCTCTCTCCATCTGCACCCCAACATAAAAAACATCACCCGGACTGCATTCTTTGTAGCTGTTCTTAAAACCTTTCCTTGGAAATATGTTAGGAATGTAAGGTCCCCTTGGGGCTTTGTAAGCGTGCCTTGGGTGCCTTTGAAAGGCGCCCTAAAATAGAATGAATTTATCATTATTCATTTATTATTCTGAAACGATGTAATAACTTTAAAACTGAGTTTCCAGTACTTGCCCCATGCATTCAGCCAGCACAGGCCATTTCACTTTGATTGATCCCGTTATGAAATGTCATAATTTTGACTATAAATAAATGCTACATAAAACGTTATCTTGCCACATTTTATCTAAACCATGCCCGTTTCTAACTTTCAATATATTTTAAAAGAGATCTATCTCATTTTCGTTCGGAGGGCGGGGGCCCTCCAAGCCAGAGCCACCCAATCTCCCCCTAGCCTCACAGACCATGCTGCAAGCGGCTGTGCAGTGTGCATAGTTCTGCCGGTAATGAAAATATTACAATTTTTGTGAGGGAAAACTTTTCCCACTAATAAATTCCAATACAGATTCCAGAAATGTAATTCCACGTTCAGTTTTACGAAAGTAACTCTAAATCAGATTACTCGTTTTTCAAATGTAACGCCAGCTGAATAAGCGTTTAGCCCTACTTTGATTTTTGTACTTACTGATTTACGTAACGCCGTTACAAATATTCCCGTTACAACGCTACAACGCGCCTGCTCCAGGCCCTACTGTCCCCGCAGCGCCCTGCCTCTCTGTTGGACTCCTTCGGCGGCGGGGCCTGCTGCTGTGGTGCCGAGGCCGCATAACA